TCTCGAATTTCATTACAGATAGATTTCTCATTCAATTAATTCACTTCTCGGTAAGGCAAAAATGCATAAAATCACAAAATATCTCCATAAAAATTTAGAAAAAAAAAAAAATACAGTTAAAGCAATTATTTTTTTTTTAAAATTAAAATTAGAGTTACGAAACAAAAACGAGCAATTCGGCGAGCAGGCAACAAGACGATTTTTCCTTGCACAAAACTCGAAGTTTCTTTTCGGTCTCACTCGGCGAAAATCATTGAAAGTAACTATAAGTAACTAACTATTGAAAGTAACTAATAATGGCTGACTGACTACTGACTTAATTCACTATTCTGCTAATTTTCAAATGTAAACAAATGTGGCTGCTCTGCTATACAAGAATTAGGCTTAACCGCACATAAACAACTTTTAAATCATTCATAATTCTATAACTATTGCATGCAGATTAAATAAGGCATAAAAACCGCAACCGGAAGATAAGAATAACATAATTTAATCATTTTTAAAGCAAAAAATGCACAATTTACCAACACATAATTAAAAACTGAGCTCACCGAGCGCCGAGTAACAAAGAGTATATATGTATATTGTTAAGAAATGTCCAAGCGCGGTAAGATGGCTACACTGCAAAGCAGTTTTATGGTTACCATAAAATAGCAAGAAAAGGCAGGCTTGCCACATTTGGCGAAAAATCGCCCATTTGGCGACATTTGGCGACAAAATTTGCGATATGCCATGGCCGGTTGGAGAACTTTCTGGAACGAATTCTTATCGGTTTAGCCCAGAATGTGCTCGAACACGAGCCAAAAGCTATATAAACCCTGCTGGTCCGCAGTCAGTTAGTATGTGTCCCTCATCGAGAGTGAGTGTCTCGCCTACGTGCGGAGTCGATCAAGTTGACATCCGGACAGCGGGTTCCGAGTGGGTCGTCGAGTGCACCGAAAGAGTCTCGTAGTGTGTCGCGGTTAGTGCATCGTCGAGAGAGCGTGTTGAGCTCCGGGAACGGCTGAACCGAAGAATCAGGAGCTGTGCTCTGTGTGTCGTCGAGGGCATCGCGAGTTGTAGCGTGGAGAGTCTCGAGAGTACGTGGAGTTCCAAGAAGGACCAAGCAGAGTCGGGAGCTGTACTCTAGTGCTTTGCAGTGAAGCTGTCTCCATCGTGATAGCCTGATAACCTGAAGGCTGTGTCGCTGATTGTTCCAGCGAGTGTATAGTAGATCTGCGACGACTGTAAACGTGTTTGGGAGCTGTCTTGATTAATATTGATAAATAAAATGTGTTTCGATACTTCATCAAGTCGTTATTCACTCCAAATTCACATAAATCCCATACGAACATGAAGGAAGAAAATAACGTAACAACTGGTGTCAGAAGAAAAACGCAACAATATATATATATATATTGAATGAACTAAAATTCATTGAAATCGAAAACAAGTTTTCTAAAACTTGCGCAATCGCTGCAAAGTAAGATGATAATAATTTATTTAGTAAAGAAATATTGATTATATTATCTTCTAATATAAATTTAGTAGTAGAATGTATGAAAAGGAGGGAACCCGGAAGTAGGAAGTTTAATTCCGAAAAGTGTTTTTTAAAGGAACTTGAATGTAAATCGTAAACTTTTTAAGGGGACTTGATGTTATTCATGATTTAAATTCAAGTCCCCCTTAAAAAATTCTAAAAAGTGAATTTTTTCAATATTTAAGATGTATCTTCTGGAAATGAGATATTTCTGACTTATATTCTTTTACCGAATTTTACATTAAAATTGATAAAATAATGGGTACAATGTTAAAACTATTGGCAAGTTGATATAAAGATATAAACTCAATTTCTCTGCTGCACAAACTAATATGTCTGAGCTAATTTTAAAGAAGATTTTATTAAATTAATGTCCTTTATAATGCATTTAAAGTTAGCGGAAAATTTTCTGTAAATATTCTATTCCTTTATTAATTATATAACCCTTAGTAATTTGACTATAAAAATTGTTGCTTGATTTTTCTTTACGATCAGCGTTTAAATATTGCATTGTTGCTGCTCCATTTCTTTATACAAATTCCCTAAAAGTGTTATATTTCTGGAGAAAAATTTTTTTTGATTATTGCTAGCTCTTAGCAGAAAAATAATGTGACATAAATTATCCTTTCATTAATTTACTAATCAACAATTAATTTTTTTTTAGTCATTATCACATCATAATAATTTAATAAATTTTAATAACTGTTTTACTATTATTCACAAATTTATTTATATATATATTTTGTGATTTTATTTGTCTCTGCGCTTAGGAAATTTTATTTATGTATATGAATTTATGCATGTAAGCAACGAAATTATTTGTTTATAGGAAATATCCATCTTTTTATTTCAAAATTATTTACATACATAACATTAATCCGATTTGGATTTCTGTTTCATTTTACAACATAAAACTGCTAATAATAGGGAAGAAAATGAAAAGGTCATTTGAATATAGTAAAGCACAAGATGGCGAGCTGCTTTAGGATACGGTTGCCTTCGGTGAGGACTTCTAAAAGAAACCGGCTTGTATTCACGTAAGACATGAACGAAATAGCCCCACAGCCAACTCGTTCGTCTAGGATCAGACCTAGGTCGAACTTCCAGCATTCTGCGGTGTTAACCACTATTAAGGCATAATAAGAAGGCTTTAGCAAATTTGAAGTTAATCAGTTAAAGACATCAAGATGTAAAGAGACATCAGAAAAACTGTTAGCTGAGTTCGTTTCACGGAAAAATGATTTACCATTTAAGGAAATGTCAAAAAAACTATTAATCAACAATTTAAATAAAAATATTTATTTAAAGAGTATTAGGGTTCAAAATCCAAACTAGCGTAAAACATTTGAAGTAGCTTACTGTATGTAAAAACGCTCATTAATTAAGCCCCATTTAAAAAAAATACTTTAATAACCAACGTTTTTCAATTAAAATATGGCATTTGAAGATTTTAAGCCTCAGAATGTAAGCTAATTAAATAAAAAAGATGATTTTATAGTGCATTTATTCTCTAAATTTAATGCTGATATATTCAAAAGAGTCATTATTTTCGCTAAGCGACGCATGTTAAAGGATATACGTCTTAATCTGCAGTAACAAATTAATTTCTATAACTATCTGATTCGCAGCATTATTTTTTTATGCAAAGCTGAGGAGCTAAGTGCAATCAGAAATAAATTAAAAGCAGTAAAATGCAGTTAATTTTTAAAAATAGAAATTATTTAGCATCAATCCCCGAAAGAAACTCTTTCGTGGCTTAGTCTGGAAAATTTAATCTTCGGTTTTCACTACATTTTTATGTTTATTTCTTCACATATTCTTTTAAAAAATTGTTTGAAATCATTTTGAAGTTTTTCAAATGAGAAATGATTATTCATTCATATTAATGGAAAGAAAATTAGTCCACTTATTAAGAGATGAACAAATAAGTGGATATCGAAGTCAGTAATTTTGCAGGAGTCAACAAATTTATAACTGCCTTGAGATAATTAGAAATCCTCATAAAGCATCGATTGAAAGGAGCTGAAAATTAATAACCTATTTAATTAGTGAAAGCAGCCAGTTATCTTCCAGATCGCTTCAGCTGATTAAAAACTTGGGTTCTCACTGACATTTAACAGTAGCCTGTATCTTATTAACTGTTTGGATAAATATCTGATTCATATAATTATATTGCCGAACAGATGGTTATCTTGTCAACTTCTCTTGCTTTCAATACCTCATTCTCCTTCTGGGGGTGCAATGTAGACTACCTCTTAGCGTTGCAACTTGGTAAGTAGAAATACGACCGCTTACCTGAGAAATACGGAGCAGATATGCAAACTCGGCATGCTGACATATGCTGCCGTCTTGCTGACAAAACTGATTTCATACTACTTTCCCATTGCTTACAAATTTTTACATTAGGGTAAAATTTCAGGTTATTCTGACCACGGTTTTTAGCAGAGTTTTCAAAGTGGAACTTTAATTGCAATCACACTGTGTTCATAAATTATATACAAACAAATTTGAAAGATTTCAGATTTTAAATTACGTCCAGAGGGGCCTTTTTTAACATTTTGTGTGTTACCTTTATTTATCAAATATCATGCTCTTTGCACTTAAACCATAAAATTCAGTTCAAGAGCAATATCACAAAATAATTCTAGATGAGCATATCTTTAGAATTTCCAATATACAATTTCTCGCGCGCTAGAGATAAAAATGTTTTCTCTGTACAACGCTGCCATGGCTCGCTTTGAAATATTTCAGTTTGTTACTCAAAAATTCGTTAAAGGTTTACAAAATATGAAATCGATAATAAAACAAATTCCAAATTTCAAATTTGGGCTTCCAGATGCCCATATTCGCAGTAGGATTACGTGATTGAAAATTGGATGGTTCTAGGTACCGTTGTTTTATGACACTGCGAGAAACATACATACATTTATGCAGATTCTTCATTATTTAATTTTTTTAATATAATACAGGCGGTAATATTTGGTGGCAACAGTTTAAAGAGGGAAACGGACTTTCAGAGTGATTCGACGCAAAATCGCAAAACGAAAACAATAGTCCTTCAGGGACAAAGCCCCTTTGAACTAAAAAATTAAATATATTGAGCAGCACAGGTTTAATGCACATGATAAATGTTTATTTTGTTATCTGCATTCAAATCACTTTGTTTGTTTTAAACGACAATTAGTATACCCTTTCGTCTGCGGGAATGTGCCACAAAGATTTCATTAATCATTGTTAACGTTTTAAGACATTCAATAGTTTAATTCCTAATTAAATACACGTGAAAAATAATACCTGTATGCTTCTATACCTTAATATATGTATAATGTACTATATTAAGATTAATAATGTAAATTAAAATAAGTTAAAATATGAAAAATTGCAAAATTATGATAAATGAAGAGCACTTACGGCAGCCATTAAAAAAATTATAAAAAGGGGATTAAAAAAACTTATTTAAGAAGTAAATACAAATACTCACTTTTCTCCACATACGTCCTATCGATAGGGTACCCTGAAACAGGGCATCGAATGGTAACTGTAGTGCCAGCTACAACTGTAAGGTTTCCCATTGGTCTGATGTATGGAGGTCCGAAAACATCGATTCTAGCTGAATGGCTGACCATTCCGACATCATTTTGGGCTTCGCATCCATAAAGACCTCCATCAGATACTGCTAAATCTGTGATATTTACGTAGCTGACAACGGAACCATCCATGGGAACATAATCACCAGTCTTCACACGTCGGGATTCAGATAACTGTTCGCCATCCAGAAACCAAGAAATCTGAGGGAGGGGTGAGCCACTAGCTGAGCAGTGGAGTGATACTATTTGTCCCGGCATATGGATTTGATCGGGAAAAATCCTTATGAAGGTAGGCATTTCCTCTGAAAATAAATAAATTAAGTGAAGTTTGCAGTTATTAACTAAAATTAAACATTTCATCTGGTTATACGAAGATTTAAGCAACTATACATTTGTGCATTTATCAGAGCAACAGGACCTTATTTTAAATTAAAAGCAGAGACATTATTTGTCAAGAGTCTATGTTTTTTTTTTATTGCTAATTTTACATAAATTGAGTTTAAAAGGACGATAATTTAAAAAGGAAAAAAAAATGTCAAAATTAGGAAGAATTTGAGCTTTGAGATAAATTATTTTTTCATTTCACAATTTTTAAAGACATGCGCTTGTATGAAAATATTTTATTAGTAATCGTTGCTTGGGTTTTATCAAAAATTATTTCTCCGTTTAGTCATACAGAAAATTAAATGTATTATTGATAATATCAATAAAGTAGCGTATGACATTTGGAGTCCTTTTCACAAGTACTGAAATTTCAGTATTGATTGCAAATTTTCTCTGTCCTTTCGGCATGCCTTTATGGTGTAACGGTTAGAATACGCGGCGCGTATTCGAGTTCCGGCGAAGGCATTGCTCATTTTTCATATCTCCTGCTTCGAAATAACCTAATGCCTCTACAGTGGCGCCCGAACTAAACAAAGTGGTGGATGATGATTCTCCACCACCAGGATTTCGCGAAAAGGTCTCCTTATCCCCAATCGCTCTTTAAAAGGGGGAGTATATAAGGCATTTTTCTCCCTCCTTTCGGCATGCCTTCGTGGTGTAACGGTTAACACACTCGGCGCGTATTCGAGAGATCCAGGTTCGAGTCCCGGCGAATAATTAGCCAATAATTATAAAAAGTGATAATTTTGTTTTATTGGATATTGATTTAATTTTATAAATAATTCTGCGTAATATCTTTATATCCAATATTCATAAACAAGTAATTATATATAGTATAAGCAACATTTATCACGCATTTTATTTCTACTTCACAGCTGAATGGCCAGTGGCGAATCAGCTGCCTTAGACAGATGGCTATCATGTACAAATGGTTTGTTTTGGCTTGATAGAATACACTAGCCTATCTGCCTAAGGGAAGAGATGCCTTCGTGGAGGATTTTTAAGGAAAATTGGCTCAGATACACAAGTTAGCCATTAAGCCAATCCGTTTGCAAGAATCGAACCCTAGTCGGAACTACCAGTGTTCAGTGATTTTACCACTCTGCCGATGGTAAGCTTCACCACAGTCGAATAATGTAGCCTAACCGAATACAACTAATAATAAATAACCTAAACTAACCGAATACACTATCGTCATATTTTTTCCACTAAACTACCATCACTTGTGATACGGTGTTACCATGAGCAACAATATGCTCATAAATTTTGCGGAAATATCTTTTCACGTTCTGTAAAGAATCATTAAGATCGTTTTTCCATCCGTAAAGGTTTAGTTATGAAATCCAGTAAACGAATAGAATTTTACATTTATAAAAATTCTGCACGTGGTCTTTTATTCAATCAAGTATATAAATGCGCGGAATTTAATGTTATATGAGTTTGTTCGTCACGATCATACCTAGTAAAATTTTCGTTTAATATAATTTTTTTTAATTCCTAATTTTGAATACATTAAATTTATACTTCTTATATTACTTCTAATCTTCTTCTTATATATTATAGTATGTACTACTTATATATTTAATAACATGTGCAATGATGCTTGGAAACAATGAAGTATACTACAAGAGGAAAGAAATCTAAAAGTATTTTATTTGGTACGAAAAAAAAAATCATACTTCTTTATTCCAGAAGAAATATTTCTGCTTTTATAAATTTCGTAAGAAGACGATTAACATATTTGCATTTTTTGATAATGTTAGAAAGATACAGAGCTCCGAGCAAGTTTCGACGAAATGGATTTCGATCCATTAGATTGAATGTATTTCTTTCTTTTTTTTCTATTTTTAGAGACGTAAATACAATCACAGAAGTATAAAGCGAAATCATCCAAGAACGGTGACTTCAAAAAGGAGAACTCTCAAATCAAATCTTTCGTATTGAAGGTCAAAAGCAGCGGAGACATGAAAGAAAATAAACAGAAAATTGATAGTCTACATTGGTAAGATATAGTATTTATTTAAATCTCGTTTGCTAAAATATAAAATTTAACCCTAAAAAGAACTTTGAAAAGTCATTTTAAGCTGCTTAAAAACGGGTATCAAAACCCTTTTAGGAACCCAAGAATGATTTAAAGTAGGGGTCTTCACCGTGTGGCCTGCTGAATGCATTTTAGTGCCTCCCATTTGAATTTGAAGAAAAATTGAAGAATTTTAAGAAATTTTGATTTCAAGAAAAATTGCCTTGTCAGTTTTTTGTCGTAAAAAGAACGTTTTTTCTCTTATTCTTGATATTTAAAACATTTTATTGACATGCCTGATATTATCTGAGGTAAAATTTTCTGAAAATGACGAATTTTAGGCATTTTGCCTTATTTACAACGACAGCGTATTTGTGATGAAGGAATACATAGACATTATGATACATTATTTATTTGAATTGGAGTTTCTTTCGGAAGAATACTTTGACCCAGGCTACGATGCTTTTGAAAACTGCGTATAGCAAACATATAACTGCATTATTGAGAGACATTATGATACTAAGCACAGTGAGAAGTATTCTGCTTTGGAAGGTCATTTTCGAAGTGATAAGGTGAGTGAATTAAAATGAAAACAAATTTTTTTTGCAGTCTTTCTTCGCCACAGCGAACAAACAATTTGAAAATGCTGTTCGTGTTAATTAATGATAGCAAAAAATAATTGCTAAGCGTGGAAAACACTTTGCTTATTTGCAAAAGAATGTCTTCAGAGTGCAGTTGATGTGCTTTGTCCATTACAGGCTCAAGTCATATCGAATATTAGCTTGTCTGGTGTGCCAGTAGCGAGGCGCATAGAGGATCTCGCAACAGATATACTCGTATTCAGTAAATTATATCCAAATCCAAAAAATTGAGTTTTATTCTGTAGCGATTGATGAATCAACAGATGCAAGAGATATTGAACAGATAGCCATTTTTATTCGTGGCATTGATAGAAACTTCACAATTGTAGCGGAATCAGCCAGTGTCGTTGCACTTAAGGGTACAACCCGAGGAACAGATTTGTATTCGAGTCTGACACAAACTATTGATAAATGTAATGTTGACTTTAGTAATATATCTGCTATAACCACGGATGGTGATAAATCTATGACTGGAGAGGAAATAGGACTAATAATATTACTCAAATCTTATGTGAAGGGCAGGTAGAAATAGTACTATGGTGGTTGAGAGACTTTACATTTCTTGCCAATATTACAGGTCATCTCAATGATTTGAACTACCGCTTATGGGAAAGATCTACTTGTTCATTATCTTTATTACTTTTTGAAAATGTTTGGGATAAAATTAATCCTGTGAGAAAGTGAGTGGAATAAGAAATCCACTCACTTCACTCACTTTTTTTAAGAATTCCACTCACTCCACAACTTCGGAAAGTGAGTGGAATAAGAATTCCACTCACTTTCCAAAGTTGATGGAGGGTGTAAAGAACTCTAAAACATGGAAAATAAATAATTATTTACAATGCATTTATAATTTGAAAGAGGAATTCAAAAGCAGATTTTCGTGAAAATGAAATTTTTATCAGAATGTTCTCCTCGCCATTTTCAGTGGACGTTGGAAGTGTTTCACCTGAACTTCAATTAGAATTTATAGATTTACAGCGTGACTGCCGTAAAATGCAAGTTTCTTGAAAATCCTACATTCATTTATTTGTATTCGAAGTACGTGACCGAAGACAATTATCCAGGAATGCGTAAACATACACTCTTCCATGTCTTCTATCTTTGGCATTACCTACATATGTGAACAGATCTTTAGTAAAATGAAAATCCTAAAATCGAAAACAAGAACACGGCTGACAGACAGACATTTGTAGGACATACTGCTGACAGACAGACATTTGTAGGTTACGAACTGCAACAACACAGATTAAACCGGATATTGAAAGTTTAATCAAGTAAAAACAAAGTCAAATTTCACATTAAAACTAAAATAACTACTATCTCCCGCCAGTAATGCATTTTTTTTAATTGTAAATGTATTTTGTAACATCATTCTGTACAATCATCTTTATGCTTTTTTTTTTCATAGTTAAAAAAGTTGCAAAACATTTTAATTCGATTTCCATTTTACGTTTTGGAACCAATGTATACATATATATATACAAATATGTAACACTATGTTTTCGCCTAAAATCAAATGTAGTCTTGCAAAACAAACCTTCCTCTTTTATATAAATCTTCTGACTACTTTTTTTGGGGGAGAGCCATACATGTGGCTCGCGGATATTTGTGAAATTATTGATGTGGCCGTCGGGCGTCAAAGGTTGAAGACCCCTAATTTAAAGCATAAGAAACGCATCTAGTTTTTTTACAGACACTACGCAGTTTAGGAGAGCCTCTTCCTTCGGTGCGTATTTTTGACATGATATTTTCTAAGGGATGTTTGTTTCCGGGAAGGGGCAAAATACACGTGATGAAGTGGGAAATAACTCAAGAAAATCACAAAAAGTAGAATGATTTCAATAAAATAAAACTTCATATTGGAAATATCGTTTTGTATCCGACCTCGTTCGGGTACCATTTTTTTAAAAATGGTTTTTATTTTAACTATAAACATATTAATTTGAAGATAAGTATATTAATTGATGAAAACAGCTTAAAACGTAAGGCTGAGTAGTTTAAATTTTGAAAAATAATGAAAAAAAGGATAATTTTTCCTTAAATTTTGCCTTTACGGCAACAACCACGGTGAAACATTTATGTATAAATATGCAGTTTTTTTAATTTGTATTTATATTTACACTTGTTTTGTATGCAGTGAAGGAAAATAATTAAGAAATATTCATATATTCTTGAGATATGTCAAAATGTATAGTATTTACTGTATATTTTCCTATTATTGCATCCAAAATCTAAAACTAAAAAGTAACAGTTC